CATTTGCAAAAGAAAAACTACTAAACAGGTAGAGATAATATGGCAAATTGACATTCATAGCCATCTGAATCAAAGAGAACCTGTTTTTAATAAAAAACTGCCCCAGGAAGAAATTATTTCCCTATATATATATTAGTGGATGAGACAGCAATATGTAAGGATGGTATTTAAAATGTGTATTGAAATAATAGATAAATTAATATCACTTCCCCACCTTTCTTCTCAATGTTTCTTTTCCGCCCTTTTAACATCATCTTCTTAACTTTATTTGAGCTTTCCTGAGTGTTTGTTTCTGTCTTAGCTCTTGAATTCATTTTGTTATGTTATTTAATTGACCTCCTCCCTCCATTCCTAAATAGACTATCATACAAAAGCTTCTTTAAAATAAGCATTATTGAGCCCAGGAGTTCAAGACCAGCCTGGGCAACAAAGTGAGACCCCATCTGTATAAAAAATAAATAAATAAAAATTAGCTGGGTGTGATGGCACTCTCCTGTAGTCCCAGCTACTCTGGAGGTTGACACAGGAGGACTGCTAGAGCTCAGGAGCTGAAGGCTGAAGTGAGCTATGACTGTACCACTGTACTCCATCCTGGGCAATAGAAACCTTGTCTCTTAAAACAAACAAAAAAAGCATTAACCTTAATTGGATTTTTTTTCTTATTAATGTATCAGTTATACTACACTCGGTGACTTGGAAGTTTGAGAAAAGGTTTTTCCCCAAACTCCCTCTCCAAATCATACTAAAACAAGTCAAAGAGAGGAAAAAAAGATAAAGTATTTACAGGAAAATAAGCTATAAATAACTGGAACCAAGCAAAAAAAGCGGAATAGGTCACTATGTTGGAGGTAAAAACTCTTCAAGGAAAGTCAAAAGAACAGAAGCAGTGTGAACCTTTTCAGGACTCCTGGGATCATAAGCATTTTTTCTTGCTGAGCTATAACAGGAACTCAGTAGTTATCCAAGAGTATGTCTGCTTTAGAGAAAATAATTTCAACAGCTCAACTGCAAAGAGATTAAAGGGTACAGGAATGCAGGGTGTGAGGGAGTGTAAGTTTGGGAGAGAGTGGCTTAAATAACTGTACTAAACAGGCCATGGCTACTTCTACGTTTTTAGATATGAAAATATTTTGTCAAATACCTGTCCATTCATAACATAAAATAATATGGCTTGCTAATTGGCTTCGTTATAAATGTCTGGTTCATGCTAAGCCAAAACCTGGGGCTCTGGAATCTATTTCTGAATTTCCCATATAGTATCAATTACAATAGTTTCTGCCAATAAAATTAAGAACCTAAGTGGGAGAAAAAGTCTACATCCTTCTGTATAAGAAATGATATCACTCACCTTTTTGATGAAACTGCTAGAATATTTTATATTGAAAGATGAAAGAAAAGACCAAGTATGAGGTAATTTATTCTTTTTCATTTTAGGAAGGGCAAAATGAACAATCCAGGTATTTAAGATCTAAATCCTGTCCCATAACATAGTTTACAGTCATCAAGATAAAATTAACTTTCTTTCCCCGATTCCCTACTATTGAAACAAAACAAAACGAGAAAAAATAATTGTTGTCTAACTACTATTATCTAATTCAGTTCAGGCTTATCCTTACTATTCCTTGATATAAACACCAAAATACGATAAATCAGTAATTGGGAAATGAAAGATCAAACCAGAATGTGAGACACAGTCCTAATAGTATTTGTGTGAGACACAGTCCTGACAGTCTTCCTGAATATCAAAGGGTTGGTGGGGTGGAAATCAGTAATTTTCTAACAGGACATTACAGTAAACAAATGAGAAATCACTTTTTACAAATGCAAAATAAAATGCAATGCATATATATTTTTAAACCACCATTCATTATCTTTTATAAAAATACGTCCCTTTAAAGCTAGGATTATTTTATCTATAAAAAATACTTGTTCTCTTCCCTTAGAAAGAAATTACTAACCATTACTTCAATCCACGGCTTGACAAGAGTTACTTCTAATATCTGTTACACTGTTTTGATCAAATAACACAGTAATTATCCAGAAGCTCAGAAAAACTGTCTGTCTATTTGAGTGTTAAAAGCATTCTTCCACAACAACTTCCATAAAATATACTTCAACACAATCATTTTAACACCCAGCAGGTTTCTTCTTCATAGTGCTGAATCCTATTCTTTAAAGTTTACTTTTTTTCTCCTACTTTGAACATAATTGTGTCAATAGTAAAGGAAGTACTTTGTTTTCATAGGGCAGTACAGTTGTAGCCTTGTGGGAAACACTGTTCTCAGCTGCCCCCTTGCTGCTGAAAAGAAACTTTGAGGATGGTGCTATATAGAAATATACCAATTATGTCTGAGAGAGTAACGTGAGCACAGGGAATTTTGTGAAAAGTCAGTGATCATGAGACACTATGGCTAAAGTGTTCCAAATCTCTTAGCATTTTTTATTAATAACTGAAAATATATAAAATGCTTGATCTCCCTAGTTTTCAAGTGTCAAAGTTCTCTGGCCCTAAAAATCTGAACTGTTAGATATTTATACCTTCAGAAAAGAATTAGCTAGTTTACTGAGAATTTCAGTGATAGTGAGTGGTAATAATCAGAGAATGAATTGCTCATTCTATTGGTAGTATAGGCAGTTATCTCTCTGCATATGTGGAGAATTGGTTACAGAGCCGCTTGCATATATCCAAATCCGCACACACTCAAGTCCCATGGTTAGCCCTGCAGAATTTACATGTGTGAAAAGTTGGCCATGCATAGAAGTGGGTTTGGCATTCTGCTAAGGTTGAGAAAAATCCACATAGAAATGGACCTGCTTCATTCAAACTTTTGTTCAAGGGTCAACTGTATTTACTTTTAACCACACCCAGTACATTCTTTAAAAAAGAAGAAAAGAAAAGAAAAGAAAAGAAAGCCAGCTACTCAGTATCACTTGAGCCCAGGAGTTTGAGTCCAGCCTGGGCAACATAATGAGATCCCCTCTCTTGTTTAAAAAAGGAGAGAAAGAGGTTTTTTTCCAGTTCTGTGATGAAGGTCATTGGTAGCTTGGTGGGGATAGAGTTGAATGTATAAATTAGTTTAGGCAGTATGGCCATTTTCACACTATTGATTATTCCTAACCATGAGCATGGAATGGTTTTCCATCTGTTTGTGTCCTCTCTTATTTCCTTGAGCAGTGGTTTGTAGTTCTCCTTGAAGAGGTCCTTTACATCCTTAGTTAGTTGTATTCCTAGATATTTTATTCTCTTGGCAGCAATGTAAATGGGAGTTCGCTCATGATTTGGCTCTCTGTTTGTCTGTTGTTGGTGTATAGGACTCCTTGTGATTTCTGCAGATTAATTTTGTATCCTGAGACTTTGCTGAAGTTGCTTATCAGCTCAAGCAGGTTTCGGGCTGAGACTACGGAGTCTTCTAAATATACGATCATGTCGTCTGCAAACAGGGACAATTTGACTTCTTCTTTTCCTACTTCAATGCCCTTTATTTCTTTTTCTTGCCTAATCGCTCTGGCTAGGACTTCCAATACTATATTGAATAGGAGTGGTGAGAGAGGGCATCCTTATCTAGTGCCAGTTTTTAAAGGGAATGCTTCTAGTTTTTGCCTGTTCAGTATGCGTTGCTGTTTACAATAGCAAACACCCAGAACCAACCCAAATGCCCATCAATGATAGACTGGACAAATAAAATGTGGCACATATACACCATGGAATGCTATGCAGCCATAAAAAAGACAAGTTCATGTCCTTTGTAGAGACATGGATGAATCTAGAAACCATCATTCTCAGCAAACTGACACAAGAACAGAAAACCAAACACCGCATGTTTTTACTCACAGGCAGGTGAAGAACAACGAGAACACTTGGGCACAGGGAGGGTGGGGGTGGAGGGGAGAGGAGGGGAAGGACACCCAGGGGCGGGGAAGTTAGGGAGGGATAACACCGGGAGAAATGCCTGATGCAGGTGATGGGGACGGTGGAGACAGCAAACCACCATGGCACGTATGTACCTATGCAACAATCCTGTAGGATGCAGGATGCGCACATGTACCCCAGAGCCCAAAGTACAAAAAATAAATAAATAAGGGGGAGAGAGAAAGAAAAAATGGCTTGAGATAGAAACCACCACTGAGGAATTCCAACTCATTCACGTGCTCCTGGGTTAACATACAGCACTCTAACAGAGATATTTACATGGCAACTCTATGAAGAAAATATTTTCATTTTATGGCAAAAGTAGGTGAAATATAAATAGCTATGCACTTTTTCCATTTAGCCTAAGATTCATAACATTCAAAAGTGCTAGTATAAACATTTACTTTTACATAAGCTAACTGATTATCTAACACATTCTCCACCAACCTAATGTTTGATTAAGAAGATATAAAAGACGAATAGAGAGTCAAAGCTAACTGATTATCTAACACATTCTTCACCAACCAAATGTTTGATTAAGAAGATGTAAAAAAGGTATAGAGAGTCAGAGCTAACTGATTAACACATTCTTCACCAACCACGTGTTTAAGAAGATATAAAAGAGGAATAGAGAGTTTTAGGAACATAGATCCAAACATTCCACAATTAATATAATAATCAGCCCACAATCCATCTCAAACCTACATTTCAGAAGTCTATTTATCAATAACCAAATGGGAATTGGTTTAAAAGCCTAAAAAAGAAAAGCCTAAATAGAATATTTTTATCTTTTTACTTTTCCTTTTGTTATAAACAGTATGGCTATCAGGATTACAAAGAATAAAAATCAACAAGTAATTTATATTTCCTAAATATAAATTCATAGTCTGACACCAATTCCATGTCCATCTTTATAATAGCAGCTCAAGTAAAGCATGTATTACAGTACTTAGACTGTTCCACTCACATCATTTATTTTATATTGCTTCCTGTTTCTCACATCTTTGTATTTTCCACAATATTCAGCCCAATGTCTTGAGTACCACAAGTACTCAAAAAGATTTGCTTTATTCTTTCAAGATGAACTTACCCTTCGAAATGACACAACATAAAATGTGTCTCCCCTTCTGCGGATGGCTTCAAAAAAGTCTTGATAACTTCTAGGTGAAGCATAATACACTTGTAGCTCACTCCCTGAGTTCCTGCTAAAGTAAAAAAAATAAGGTTATACTAAAATCAAAAGCTTTATGTTTCCCCAAAATACTTCCCATTCTAAGGCTATGTCTGAATTCTAAGAGTCTCTCTCAACCAAAATATTAGTTGCACTTTGGCGGTAATTTTTATAACAACATTTTGTAAAGCCCAAGATCAGGGTATTTTATAAGATCTCATTCACTAATGCTAAAATTCTGATTTCTGAATCAAGGCTCTAAAATGTACTAGATGGTCAAGTACATGGCAAAGCATGTAAAATAATAAAAGCATCAGAAAATAGATTCTGCATAGGTTTGAATTATTCTGAAATTTTTAGTAATACAAATTAAATCTGAGGAAAAGTTATTTCTCACCACTCTGTCAAATATATGAAGGTGTGCTTGCCTATCAGGGTGTGTGAAAGGTAGAAAAAGCTTAAGATTTGACAACAAACAGACCTGGTTTGGAATTCCTGCTTCACTTCTCAAGCGGGCACTCTTGGGTAAACCGCCCTCTATGAGCAACTTGTTTCCTCATCAATAAAAAGAGGATAACCAAACAAAGCGTGCAGGACTGTTATTGGGGAGGTTATATATGTAAAGTGCCAAGCATTGGAGCCTGTTCCATAAGAGTCACTAAACAATTGCTAGTCATTGATACTAAAAGTACCATGTATGTGCCTTACTAAAATTAAAAACTAAAATGATAATACCTCAAACGACATCATATCCCAAAAGATACAGTCAAATGATTCTAGCAGAGTTCTTAATATGTTCTGGATCTTCTAGTGTTTAGGACCAATATCCAGAAGAGTTAAAGAGATCCTGTAATGTTTCATTTTTCTTCAAAGAGAAAATTTGTATGTATCAATCAAACATTTATTAAGAGGAGAAAAAGACTGGCCTAAATGGAAATAATAAATGAGTTATAAGAACTTCCTTTGAAATAATTCTGTTTGTTCACTAGGCCATTTCTGATTATAATATTCTGAATATATAGTCACTTCTTGCTATTTTGTGATGGTTATGTTCTAAAAAGTTACTGACAACAATGAATTAGTGACTCCTAAATCACTCTCCTAGGGGAAATACAGAGTTAGATTCCTGCAAGCCTCTGGTTACAATATTTTGGTCAAGTGATCAACATATAGCCTTACTTATGTGTTTCTGTTTAAAGATACCTTCTTTGACATATATTATTCATTCACTAACTTGAACTCACAGCCAACAGCACTATAAATCATGCCTGAATGAAACTTCTCTAACACATGTCGTTTCTCCACACAATACATCACAGCCCGCCTGGGCTTAGGAACACGACAGCAATTCAGCAATATGCCTGTGGGGGCCATTTCAAACAGCAAAATTATCAACAGAAAGCACAAAAATATGAAAAATGTGGACTGTGAAAAGGACCCTATTTATAAAGCTGAAACTAGAAGGCAAATTGTTGCCTTGTTCAACCTCACCAGGGAGCATCTTTGCATGTCTGCGAATGACGACAAAAGCACTGCTAATATTGATTTAGTGGTTACACACATGTTTCAGCAGATTTTAGTAGGTGAATTAGCAAATATGGAATCCACAATTAATAAATATTAACTGTAATTCACTAAAACATTTTAACTAATGAAGAAATACCATGCCATCATAACCATGCATCCAAAATATACTCTGGTTAGGAGAGAATTATCACTTACTATTTAAATATATTTTAATTATCAATTTCAACAGGATAATACAATCTCAGGATTTTAAACATTCATGATTGCTGATATGCTGTGTATTGCCATTTAATAGGAATTCTCACAGTTATTAGTATAATGAATAAAATAGCTTTGGCTTACACTTTTACTATCTATCTACATGTTTTTTTCTCAGTGCCTAGAACACTGGCACACAGTATATTCTAAGTAAATATTAAATTAATATTAATAAATAGTGAACTACAAATGTGTGGTAGAGCTACGGACAGACGCTGAGATTCTCAACTTTCACTTCAGTGACACTATTGTCAATAATATCACGTCATTGTCATTTACCATTTTGGGGCAGCACTTAATATGTACCAAATACCATGCTAAGTGCTCTAAATATATTATCTAATTTAACTCTGTGCAGCCAGCATTTTGTAAATGAAAAAACTTCATTTGCATGTAACCTGCTGAGGCAGAGTTATAATTTGAACTCTGCCCAACAGACTAAATAAAGCTAGCATCTTAACCATGACACCATATTGCTTCCCATATTATCTTTCCCTTTGAAGATATTTAAACCTCTAGATACAGCATTCTCTTTGAAATCTTTCAAAATCTTAAGTAGTATTATGTAGTGAAAAATGCACTGTAAGTAATACAGCTGGGATCTGAATTCTGAGTCTGCCACTAGGTCTTATGACTCTGAAAATTACAAAAAGTAAATAAATGACTTGACCAGTTTTTCTGTATATAAAATATACTTTTAGTTATTACACGGATTTAAAGATAAATACATGTGAAACACTCAGCAGGACACCTGGCACAGAGCATTAAAAAAATAACATTCCCTTCTCCTAGGCTCATGAAACAGATGCAAATCAAGGGCAAGAGAGCTATGGGTATTCAAGACTTTCATCCAAATTATGATAGAACAGCATTCTGACTAAATCTGTATTTAAAGGATTTGGAAGAATTGAACTTTTGAAATTATCTGGCTTTATTCCAACTGCTCAGTAGTGTGTATGTGTATGTGTGTATGTGTGTGTGTGTGTGTGTGTATATATATATAAAAGAGTAGATAATTAATATAAAATCATAGAGGAGAACAAATTAATTTAAGGTGAAAGGGAAGTGTAAGTTTCAACTTTATTAAACTACCAACTATTTTAAATCCCTCTGCCAAGAGCTTCCGCACTGTTTTACCTGATACTAGTGGTTTCTGTGTATTGAACAGCCATCAGCTGAGAATTTGAGCCCTGTTCCAGAGCACCCTGGAATATTAAAAAAAAAAAAAAGTTTAATATTGTATCATGAAATTATATGAAACCCTCCTACAGTGGCTCATTCTATACTTAAATTTGTTAAACTTGCACTGCTAAGATTTCTGACATATTCAGTTCAAATAATTAAACACTAACAGATATTAGAACTATTTAGGTCCATTCTGGTCTAGGAGAAGTCTTATAGAGATTAAGGAATTTAAGGCACTTTCCATTAAGTTTAAAGAAAGAGCCCAAAAGCTTAGTCCAAGCACCACAAATTTTATGACCAAGTCATATAAGTTTTACTGGACATATAACAATGTATGCTTGTCTAAAATAATTCTCTTACCAATGACAAGTTCCTAAGAAGTATGAAAGGTCCATAATGAAACTAGATCCTATTGTTGACTGAGTTAAACACAGAGATCTTCATGCCAAAATACATCTATGAACTAAGCCATCATTAAAGAGTTCTCACTGATGACTCTTGGCAAGAGAACAGTTCAATCTAGACCCATTAGTGGCCCACATATGCTACACTGGAATCCTGTCTTTCACATAGCATTTGCTTTGCATCTTGCCCTTTTATTCTCCCTTGTAGTTTTGTAAGCTGATTTTCAGAACAGATTTGTCACAGTATCAGAGTTCAAGAGCATACTACCAACTTCTGTTACATTAGAAAGTAATCTTACCCTGTCAAACATATTTAAATATGTAAATATGTAAATCATATTTAAATAGATTTTTAATCATGTCTTCATTACTGTGTCCATAGATCCGTCTTTTAGTAATCAAAGCACCTACATGTGCCCAAGCTACAAAATTAAATATTTGACTTCTGCCTTTATGAAGCTCGCAGTTTAACTGGGAATACAGATATAGGAAACCAATACAATGTGATAAGTGCTAAAACAGAGTATGTACAAAAGTTTAAGAGAGAAAAAAAGAGGAAACAATTTTGTTTGGTGGATGGAACCAATATGCAGGGTTGAATATGGGGCTTCCAACTTCTGGCTCTGTAACAAGTCAAAGATCTTATTTTATAAAAATCTAATGTGGGTCTTGTATATTGTAGGTGCTCAGTTAATGTTTTAACAACAAATGAAAAAAATCAATAAAATGAAAAGAAACACACAGTTAAATAATAAAATACTATACTTACTGGCATAGCTATCAAGTAAGTAGTAAATAAAGCAAAAACTAAATTATAGCTAGTTGATAAATACAAGGTTTCAAATGAACAGAATTAAATAGCTGGTGAATGTGAAACGATTTGTGCTACTTTGGCCCAGATGAAATAAGCAAAGAAATCTGAAAGAAGCCAGACTTCCTTCCCTAGTCTCAGAAAGGAATGGGTAGGCCTTAAGGGAAAGCCAAATTACAGAGATATCAGGCAAACAGAAAACAGATATTCCGTTTACCTATCCAAGAGTTTTAACAATTAACTAAGGAAGCTCTGAAACTGGTCACGAGCTTTTGCATTTTTAGCTGTGTAGGTTTAGCTAAAGATCATAATTGGCAAAAATGTGAAAGGCATTTACACAGAAATGAGAAGATGTTAAAATTTCCAATTATGTTGTAGATCTTTTTCTCTAGTTCTGTCACTTTTTGCTTTGTGTATGCTGAAGCTTTGTTATTGGGGGCCTATATGTTTAGAATTGTTATATCTTCTTTGTATGCTTCCTTTTATCCATAAAAAATTTATTTTGTTGTCTCTTAGAATAACCTTTGTTAGGAAGTCTACTCTTTCTGATTAATATAGCCATGCCAGCTTTTTAATGCTTCATGTTTGCATGGCATACACACTTTTTCACTTTTATTTTCCATCTGTTGGTATCTTCATATTTAAAATGTTATTTCTTATAAACAACATATAGTTGGATCTTTCCTTTTTTAAAAAAATCTAGTTTGAAAATTTCTTCCTTTTAATTGATGTGTTTAGCCCTCTGAATTTAATTACTAATATAGTTGGATTTAAGTCTACCATCTTGGTATGCATTTTAAATTTATTCTTTATGTGTTTCTCTTTTTCTGTCTTTTCATTGAACTGCATTTTTTTTAGCATTCTATTTTTACTTCTTACATTGTGTTTTTAGCTATACTTCTCTTCTTTTTAAGAAACAGGGTCTTGTTCTGTTCCCAAGGCAGAAGAGCAATGACATGATCATAGCTCACCACAGCTTCTTAAACTCCTGGGCTCAATCAATCTTCCTGCCACAGCCTCCCTAGAAGCTAAGATTGTATGCACAAGCCACCACTAGCTGTACGTCTTTATGTTGGCTTTTAGTAGTTGCTCTAGAGCTTATAGTTTGATCTAAGTTACCACAGTAGATACTGAAATATTATTTGAACAACATAAAAACTTTATTAAGAGTATAATTCTATTTATCCCTCCCTCCCTTTGTGTTCATATTGTCTTATATTTCACTTCTATATAAGCTATAAATCGCACAACCAATTGCTATTATTATTGCTTTAAAAGAGACAACAGTCTTTTAAAGACATTTAAACACACACACACAAGATAGTTGTCTTTTTTTTTTTTTTAAAGGCCTGTACTTTTTACCCAAATATTTGCCCATTCTGATGTTCTTACTTCCTGCTAATCTGGGGTTCTCTCTGGTATCATTTACCCAAGTCCTTTAAAAAACATCTTTAGCATTTCTTACACTGCAGGTCTTCTGGAGATGAATTCCCTTGGTTTTCTCTATGTGAAAATGTCCTTATTTTGCCTTCATTTTGAAAGATATTTCATTAATTTTCCTCTTTACCTTTTCTAAAAGGTAAACTGTCTAGGAAGAGGATAGAACTATGAAACAGGACAAGTCAAGTCAAAGACATAATAATGTCAAAGATAGAGCAGACATTTCAAAGAAATGTCAGTTCACTAAAATTATAGAATATTTTATAAGACTTCGGGATACTCTTAGCAACTGAAAGTGGTATCTGGAAGAAAAAAAGGTTGAAATGAAAAAAGAAAAAGGAGAGCAGTTATAGGCTCTCTACATTAAGAAAGAGAATTGTTTAAAATCTTAATATGCTTTGCCATTGACAACAGCACGAAAAATTCTTCTCCCTCTGCTAACCAGGAACTTCTTTACGATTGACGAATATAGATTCTTCCCCACCATTCCCTTCTATAGTAGCTAAGATTCCCACAATTCTGAGCCTATCTAAGTTCCCTACAGAAACATATATAGCCAAAATAGCATAGAAAGAAATAAGACTTTAAACTGCAAATCTCCTCCAAATGAACAAAGACAGTAAAATGAAAACAAAATTCTTTTTCTTGCACTGGAATTCCTTTAAGATTAAAGAATACCAAGCACTCCTTCCACAGTAAATGCTCGATTCATTTATCTAATGAACAGTAAAGAAAAACATGACAAATTATATCTAATGATAAGGCCAAAAAAAAAAAGCATTTAGGGTAAGAATTTTAATCTAATTTTTCATTAAGTCCATTATATTTGCTGTGTGGGATTACCTACTGGCAATAATCTGTTCCTGACTCCTGTGTTCTTCCTCTGTATAGCAAAGGATGGAAGCCTGAAACATGTATTACTCAAACTGTTTTGCCACCAGGGTTCTGGATATAATTTAGACTCTGCCAATAAGATGCACTTGTTTCATACTTGGAAAGCAGAAGGGGGACAGAGTCCATTTTTCCTTTGACCATTGTGGCAGGTGATGTGTAGGCTTTGGCAGACATGAATTTTTGAAGTACTAGACTCCACATTCCAATACCAATAAGCAGCTTTGGGACTTTGGGGTGCTTGTGACATTGTTAATGATTGCCTGCAGCCTCTAGAAGTACTAACAACCAATAAAGTTACCTACTACAGTAGGTTAAAAAAAGTTGTTGAAGAGGCCAAGAGAAGCACCCAGTAGATAATTACAAAATTTCAGAGTTTCAGTTTGAGCTCACCAACACTAACCCTCATTTTACGTAGGAAAACAATCCCTTAATGGTTAAAAACCCATGTTTCTTATTATCCTTTTAATATACTTTGGAACATAACATATACTGCGTCCAATTAATCATGAAATAATCAAACAGTTTAAGATGTTTCCATTAGCATGTAAACATGTAAACCTGGAGAAATATTTCCAAAAATAAAACTCTTCCTTGATTCCTGTAGCTACCCCATTTCTCTATTCTCAGGTATAGGGATCACCCTGAAATAATGTTCTCCACTTCCTCCTCTGTTATTACCTCCCTGAATCCACTTCAGTTGGCTTTTGCCATCACCACTCCAATGAAAGAACTTTCACCAAGGTCACTAACAAGTTCTAATGGTCAATTCCAAAAGTAATTCCTCACTCTTTACCTTAATCAGCATCTCTTAGCTCTCTTAGCTACATCCCCTTCTTTAAAAACTTTCTTTGCTTGAGTTTTGGGACACCACTATCCTACGTTTTCTCCTGTTTTACTGGCCAGCTACCCTTCTTCCTTTTCGAATACTGGTTCCTCTTTCTCTTTCAACTTGTAATGTTGGAGCTGGCCCAGAGCTTGGTACCTCACTCTTGTTTCTTTCCTCTTTATTTCTCTCTAGGTAGTAGCACCACAAATTAAACTTCCAGTTTCAACCTCTCTCCTAAACTCCAGACCTAGATACCTGATTGCCCACTTGACTTCTCCACTCAAGTGCCTAACAGCCATATCAAACTTAACATATTTAAAATTATTGACTCCTGCCTCTAACTTCTCCTTCTCCAGTACTGGTCTCAGTAAATGGTATCACCAATCATCTGTTACCTAAGCATAGGATTTATCATTATATCAAGAATTTATATAAGCTTTACTTTCAAACTGTATTTGGCATCCAAGTACTTTCTGCCACCTTCATGACTACCACACTAGTATGGACCTCAACAATCTCTCACCTAGCTCACTAAAATGTCTTCGTAACTGTCTCCCTACTTCCAGTCATGCTCCCCATCACGGTCCACTTTATGTAGCAACAACTAATTTTTCAAAATATAAATCAGATCAAGTCACTCCCTTACTCAAACCTTTCAACGGCATCCCCTCAAACCTAGTATGAAATCCAAAGTTCCCACGAAAGCCTATGAAGTTTGCTATGTGCTTCCGTCTGCTGCCTCTCTAATCTCATCTACCACTCTCCCCTCAGCCCCTGCATTCCAGTCATACTCAGCTTCTTCATGTTCCTCAAATATACAAACTGTTCCCTCCTGAGGGTCTTTACATTTGCTGCTCCCTCTCTCTAGAAGCTCTTGCTCCAGATTTTCCCCTAAATCTTTACATTGTTATTTCAGTCACTTTTCTGTCAATGTTTTCACCAAACCCTTTTATTCTTCTTGAGCACACGGAAAGATACATGATCCCAGTATCTCTTGCAGTAGGTTAGGCAAAGTGACAAGAGTTTTAGCCAACTAAACATTGTCAAAAATCCAGGCCTGATCCCTAAAACATTTTGCATAATCCACCAGACTCTTTCTTCACTAACATCCCAAGCTATAAGCAAAGAATTTTAACTTGTTGGGGCTACACAGCAGAAGGAACCTGGATCCCTTACTCACTGCTTAGAGAAAAACAATCCTAGAAAGTGATGTCAAATTTTGTGCAAGTGAAAAATTTTTATTCCATTAAGCTACTAAGATTTTGGAGGCGGTTATAACAGCTAGCATTAATCACCTTGACAATGCCATCTTAAGGTGGGACTTCTTCAGAGAAGCCTTCCCTGACCACTCAGTCTAGTCACTCATTTCTCAATTCAGATTCTAACCTCCTATGCTGTTCTGATTTCTTTAGAGAACTGATCTCTACTTTGTAGTGTGTTTGTGTATTTATTTACTTGCTTATTGTTTAGCTCTCCCATTAGAGAGTAAGCTCCATTAAGGTAGGGACTTTATCATACTCACTCCTTTATTTCGGGATCAAGAATAGTCCTTGGCTCATTATTGGGAACTTGCATATGCCAACTGCTAGTCTAAGTGCTAACAACAAATATTTGATGAATGATAGAATGACTTAATGGTGTTTTGGGCAAACAACATTGAGATGGAAGCCCCACTTAACAGATTCCTAAGTAAGACCTGTCATTAAGCCAGAGTGGTAAATATCTAAGTTGAGAAATGCCCTCCATGGATGTGTCTTCATCTCCAAAATGTCCCATGTCTCAACATTCTCTTTTTGAAAAGCTCTAAGAAGAGAGGAGATAAACGGTATTATTTATTATACCATTGTGCCAAAGACATTTGATGTAGATATCCATGCACAGGAACTCCTGGCTGGAAAGCAAATTTCAAGGTGAGAGCAAGAAATCATACAATGCCTGATCAGGGAACTACTAATACTATAAACCCTAAACTAGTGCTATAAAACCTGGGAGGAAGACTTCAGTGGCAATGACAACTGCATCAGAAGCAGCAGGAGACAGAGGGAAGTGGCTAAAGCGCAAGCCTACCAAATCTTCCAGGGAAGAGAGCAACCCAGCTGGGAGAAGCCTTCCAACAAATATGCCAACTATTGTTCAAAGACAAGCAGAAACAAACCTGAAGAATGCGGGTTTTCTGTTGATTATTTGTCATTCTTCTTGACTTGGTCCTTTCTACTTCATGTCTATGAACCCATCCTCGAAGTTCATGATTTAACCTATAAAATATGGTTTAATTAATTAAACATAGAAATCAATGTTTCACCCTGTGGGTGCAAATGAATCTCATCATTTGTAGATTCCAAAGAGCATTCTGAGGGCCTGATGACTCAGTATTTTTGACCTGAAAAAACTGATAATGTTGTTTTTAATAAGATATGCATTCTCGTCAACTATGCATTCAAAATTCAATGAAAACTACAGCTAAATACCTGCCAAATACAAACACTGGATGCTCAGGTTTTTCCACCAAAAAAAGTATTTCCTTGCCAGCACAGTGTCTCACACCTGTAATCCTAGCACTTTGGGAGGCTGGGGTGGTAAGACTGCTTGAGCCCGGGAGTTTGAGATCAGCCTGCACAACACAGTGAGACCCTGTCTCTACAGAAAATAAAAAACAAAAAAAAAAATTAGCTGGGCATGGTGGCATGTGCCTGTAGTCCCAGCTACTCAAGAGGTGGAGGCAGGAGGATCCCTTGAGCCTGGAAGTTTGGGGCAGCTGAGGTATGATCGAGCCACTGCACTCCAGCCTGGGCAACACAATGAGACTCTGTCTAAAAATAAAACAAAGCAAAATAAAAAGTATTTCCTGTTTCTGTTCTTGGGCTATGTAAACACAAACATTTGAGACACTGTAGAGAACTTAATGAGACATAGGATCCCTAACAACAAATAGATTGCATTAAAGCCTTTTGAAAATCATGCTTTTTTGGGAGAAGAAAAAGAATGAACTCAATTGCCTGGGGTAAAAAAATATTCAAATTTTTCAACACAGGAAATAAAAGCGTAGCTCAAATATAACTTCTTTTACTTTGCTTACTTTTTACAGCAGCTGTAAAGATGTTAAACTGTTTAACTGCAGTTGATTACTACCTATCACTAAAAACCTGAGGTAGTTTTGACTTTAAGGATAAGGTCCAAAATCACAGGAAAGAAATTCAAGGGAAACGCTGATAAAGAAGTGTGTACTAATGGTAAGGTATCTCTAGAATCACATATCCACAAATTATTATCTTCCTAATTTGAAGAAAAAGGTACTTTCTGCTATAAATGTTAGCAACTGTTAAGCCTAACACTTACACTGAAATTTTAGTATTAATTTCCTTCTGTAGTTTTCAAAGAAGACAGATTTAAGTAAGCAACCATCACATAAAACAGACCCATCACCATCCCTATCAGGTTGGCGGAGAAACTGGACAACTAATATGCCTACAGTTATCCAACAAATAATTCAGAGATTCTCTCAGTCACTTAATTAACCTGACCAAATTACCTGTCTCTAGATTTCAAAGCCAAACATGGGAACCAACTCAGATGTGCTGCAATAATCTCCAACACTCACCTGAGAGATTCTGTTGTGTTAATGAGGGGCTGACAAGGAGGTGGAGGAATATAAAGCAATGGTTCTTCAGTTAGCACCATCAGGGCTTTGTCATTTGAAACAGAATGATCATACCTGAAACATGGATGCACAAAATTTGTTTCCTTATATCTTAAATTCCTAAGAAATTTGCTATAAGAAAAGCATCATTAGTCTTAACTTTTCATGTAAATTTAAAAACGTAAATAGAACATACTGCAAGATAAAGTATAAAAGATGGAAACTTATTTTACATGAAATGTCATTTTCTGATTTCCTACAGAGACAGCATGGTAATTCACATTCGTCCAGTCACCATGTATTGAGCAATTAATTTGCAATAAGAGATACAATAACACATGATTCATTATGTCTTCAATGAGCTTAAGACATACACAATACTGCTTGTACAGAGGTGGTAATCGAGGGAAAAATCAACTGGTATTATCCGACCAGACTAAAAAGTTTTGGGGTTATTCACAATTCTTTGATAATAAAACTGAATAGTATCCCTAAAACAGGTAGGGGTGTGTGCGTGCGTGTGTGTGTGTGTGTTTATGTTAGGGATAGGGTGAGACATAAAATACTTGGCAGGAGAAAAGTGAAAGTTGAAAAGCTGAATATAAACTATGAAATCACAGAAGAATTTGAATCACTAATAAAACACCAGGGTGACTAACATTAACTAGTTACTCCATTCACTTCAAAAATATATACTTTCCTAGCCATCACACTGTGACTTCATACCCAAGGTGTGATGGAGGAAGCAAAACCAGACTCAAAGTTAGAATTTGAGTTGTGGACATTACTGCTATTTATGCTCTTCAGTCGGCAATCTTAATCTGTCTCACTAACAAAACTTGCATCTCTCCCAAATTTCTTTATATAGGATGATCTGGATTTAGAAAACTAGATATGTCGGAGGACTCAAGATGGCGCTGTGAGAACAACCCAGGATTGGAGCTCTTCTCGTTGAATCCGCAAACGGTGAGTCAGAGCGGCATTTCCAGACTGATCTTTGTTGCCCACAGAACGGGGAAACTCCCAAGTATAAAAAAGACATGGGATGCCAGGCAGTAGGTCTGCCTGGCGAAGCCGGCAGCCGGAGGGGCGGCGGCCGGCCCTACCCAGCAATCCCCACAGGGCGCGCTTGTCCGGGTGCCCTGTTGAACCGGCAACCTGAGACTTGAGAGGGCTGGACTTGAGACTGAACGAGACTTGGACAGTAGGCCAGCCCAGGGGATTGCAGGGATTGTGATACCCAGTGGGACGAACAAAACCACGATTTCAAACTATCCCGAGCAGACGGTCCGAGACGCTCTGTGGGGGAGGGGCGTCCACCACTACCGAGGCAACCCGCCCCAACTGAGATACACGCCCACTGCTGACGCAGCCAGCCGTTGCCGAGGCAACCCGCCCCAACTGAGATACACGCCCACTGCTGACGCAGCCAGCCGTTGCCGAGGCAACCCGCCCCAACTGAGATACACGCCCATTGCTGACGCAGCCAGCCGTTGCCGAGACAACCCGTCCCTACTGAGATACACGCCCACTGCTGACGCAGCCTGCCGTTGCTGAGGCAACACGCTACAACGAAGAGACTCCGCCGCAGGGCGTGGCGGAGACCACAGCAGAGCCGGCTGGAACAGCGCGAATCACACAACAGCAGGGCGGAGCCTCGGCAGCCAAACAGTGGCTAGTCTGCCTTCTAGCTGGGCAGGACACCTGATCGGACATCCAAAAATAAAGCCCAAACCCCTCAACACAGAGCATTTGAGAAAAAAAAAAAAAAAAAAAAGGGTTTTTTAATGAGCTCTGTTGCAGCAGAATCAAACATAGCAGCCTAACAGCCCTGAATGAACAACAGAGTGCACAGCTCAGCAATTAAACCCCTATAAAGTACAAACTGTCTCCTCAAGCAGCTCCCTGACCCCTCTATATCCAAAAGACTGACATTAGGCAGGCATCATCCTGGGACAAAGAGAGCAGAAAAAGAAACTGGTAGCATCCCTCGCTGTGCCACAGCTACTAGAGGTGCACCCCAGACAAGCAGGGTCTGGAGCGGACCTCAGCAGTCATACAGCGAAGGGGCTAGACTGGTAGAAGGAAAACCAAGTAACAGAAATACTTCATCATCAACATTCTGGGTGTCCACTCAGAGACCCAAACGAAAAGTCAGCAACTACGTAGACGACCAGCGGAAAAATCCACAAAGATGGGAAGAAACCAGCGCAAAAAGGAGGAAAACACCCGAAACCAGAACACCTCACCTCCTAGAAAGGACCAAAACTCCTCACCAGCAAGGGAGCAAAGCCGGACGGAGAATGACTGTGACGAAATGACGGAATTAGACTTCAGAAGATGGATAATGAGAAACTTTTGTGAGCTAAAAGATCATGTATTAAATCAATGCAAAGAAACTAAGAACCTTGAAAAAAGATTTGAAAAAAGATTCGAGGAAATGATAACAAGAATGGATACCTTAGAGAGGAATATGAATGAATTAAAGGAGCTGAAAAACACAATACGAGAACTTCGCGAAGCAAACACAAGTTTCAATAGCCGAATTGACCAAGCAGAAGAAAGAATATCTGAAGTCGAAGACCAACTCAATGAAATAAAACGAGAAACCAAGATCAGAGAAAAAAGCGCAAAAAGGAATGAACAAAGTCTCCAAGAAATGTGGGACTATGTGAAAAGACCTAACCTACGTTTGATAGGTATACCAGAAGGGGACGAAGAGAATGAATCCAAGCTGGAAAATACTCTTCAGGACATCATCCAGGAAAATTTCCCCCACCTAGCAAGACAAGCCAACACTCAATTGCAGGAAATACAGAGAACACCACAAAGATATTCCGCAAGAAGAGCAACCCCAAGGCACATAATCGTCAGATTCAACAGGGTTGAAATAAAGGAGAGAATACTAAGGGCAGCCAGAGAGAAAGGTCGGGTCACCCACAAAGGGAAGCCCATCAGACTCACAGCAGATCTCTCGGCAGAAACACTACAAGCCAGAAGAGAGTGGGGGCCAATATTCAACATTCTTAAAGAAAAGACCTTTCAACCCAGAATTTCATATCCAGCCAAACTGAGCTTCAGAAGTGAAGGAAGAATAAAATCCTTGGCGAACAAGCAAGTACTCAGAGATTTTGTCACCACCAGGCCTGCTTTACAAGAGCTCCTAAAAGAGGCACTACACATAGAAAGGATCAATCAGTACCAGCCATTCCAAAATCACTGAATGCTAAAGAGCTTCAACATAATGAAGAATCTACAACAACTAACAGGCAAAACAGCCACTTAGCATCAAAATGGCAGTATCAAATTCACACATAACAATATTAACCCTAAATGTAAATGGACTAAATGCACCAATCAAAAGACACAGACTGGCAAATTGGATAAAAATCCAAAACCCATCAGTGTGCTGTATCCAGGAAACCCATCTCACATGCAAGGATACACAAAGGCTCAAAATAAAGGGATGGAGGAAGATTTACCAAGCTAATGGAAAACAAAAAAAAGCAGGAGTTGCAATTCTCATCTCTGATAAAATAGACTTTAAAGCAACAAAGATCAAAAGAGACAAAGAAGGCCATTACATAATGGTAAAAGGATCGATACAACAAGAAGAGCTAACGATCCTAAACATATATGGACACAACACAGGAGCACCCAGATACATAAGGCAAGTTCTTAATGACTTACAAAAGGACTTAGACTCCCACACAATAATAGTGGGAGACTTTAACACTCCACTGTCAATACTAGACAGATCAACCAGACAGAAAATCAACAAGGATATCCAGGGCTTGAACTCAGACCTGGAGCAAGCAAACCTGATGGACATTTACAGAACTCTCCACCCCAAATCCACAGAATACACATTCTTCTCAGCACCACATCACACCTACTCTAAAATTGACCACATAATTGGAAGGAAAGCACTGCTCAACAAATGCAAAACAACTGAAATCATAACAAACAGCCTCTCAGACCATAGTGCAATCAAGTTAGAACTCAGAATTCAGAAACCGACCCAGAACCGCACAGCTTCATGGAAACTGAACAACTGGCTCTTGAATGTTGACTGGGTAAACAACGAAATGAAGGAAGAAATAAAGAAGTTCTTCGAAACCAATGAGAACGAAGACACAACGTGCCAGAACCTCTGGGACACATTTAAAGCAGTCTCTAGAGGAAAGTATATAGCAATAAGTGCCCATATGAGGAGAATGGAGAGATCCAAAATTGACACCCTATCGTCAAAATTGAAAGAGCTAGAGGAGCAAGATCAAAAAAACTCAAAACCCAGCAGAAGACAAGAAATTACTAAGATCAGAGCTGAGCTGAAGGAGATTGAGACACGAAAAACCCTTCAAAAAATCAATAAATCCAAGAGCTGGTTTTTTGAAAACATCAACAAAATAGACAGACCACTAGCCAGATTGATTAAAAAGAAAAGAGAGAACAACCAAATAGATGCAATAAAAAATGATAAAGGGGAAATCACCACAGATTCCACAGAAATTCAAACCATCATCAGAGAATATTACAAACAACTCTATGCGCATAAACTAGTAAACCTGGAAGAAATGGATAAATTCCTGGACTTCTGTGTCCTCCCAAGCCTAAACCAGGAGGAAGCTGAAACTATGAATAGACCAATAACAAGGTCTGAAGTCGAGGCAGCAATTAAGAGCCTACCTCACAAAAAAAGCCCAGGTCCAGACGGGTTCACAGCCGAATTCTACCAGACACACAAGGAGGAGCTGGTACCATTCCTTCTAAAACTATTTCAAACAATCCAAAAAGAGGGAATCCTTCCCAAATCATTTTATGAGACCAACATCATCCTGATACCAAAACCCGGCAGAGACCCAACGAGAAAAGAAAACTTCAGGCCAATATCCATGATGAACATAGATGCAAAAATCTTCAATAAAATATTGGCAAGCCGATTGCAACAGCAAATCAAAAAACTTATTCATCATGATCAAGTAGGATTCATCCCGGGGATGCAAGGATGGTTCAACATACGCAAGTCTATCAACGTAATTCACCACATAAACAGAACCAAAAACAAAAACCAC